TGTCAAAATTATCTTGTTCATAATAACATATCCATTGTGGTTGCCTGGATGATGCGATCATCCAAGGGATTTGAAATCCTTACCCTCATACTTTAAGCTAATTGTTTGAGTTACCCTGCTGGATTAATGTCTGTAATTTATGACTAACTTCAAATATTTCACCCGAATCATCATTTCCCAATGCAACTTGCATACGTGCACTAAAATGCACCTTTGCATGTTCCCGAATACTTGTATGCCCATTCCTCTAGCAACTAGAAATGGGTTTTGGTTCAACTTCTGCTTATTCTAATAAAAGGCACTACCTTTTAGTTTTCTTCTTCCGTTTCTTGTTTTGGGCTTTGAATGTGCGGTTGGTGATTTTCATTCTTGAATTGAATTGTGTGCAGGCTGTCGACACAGCCGTGAGGGTCTTGAAGGAAGGCGGGATGGATGCTATTAAGCTGGAAGGTGGGGCCCCTTCAAGAATCACTGCAGCCAAAGCGATAGTCGAGGCCGGTATTGCCGTGATGGGCCATGTGGGACTTACACCTCAGGCCATTAGTGTTCTCGGAGGTTTCAGGCCACAGGGAAGAAATGTCGATAGTGCAGTCAAGGTACTTTTATTTTTCAGATATTTTTCGGGGAAAAAAGAAAAAAGAAAGAAAGAAATGCCATAATGAAATTGAAAATGGATTCTATATACAAGTGAGTTAATGTTTTTGCAGGTTGTGGAGACTTCAATGGCCTTGCAAGAGGCGGGATGTTTTGCTGTTGTGTTGGAATGTGTTCCTCCGCCTGTGGCTGCAGCCGCAACTTCGGCTCTTCAGATCCCTACCATTGGCATAGGGGCTGGGCCTTTTTGCAGTGGTCAGGTTAGTATTTGCTTCTTGCTTTTTGTTGTTTTTTAATTTTTCCATACTGTAATATGTGTGTGGGTTTTGATTTTGCATTGTTGAGTGATATTTATGGGAAGTGTTGGTAGTGTTGAGCTGGCATTACAGGCCGTGCCATTTTTCGAGTGATTCACTTTATGTTAGCTTAAGAGATTGTCTCTCTCATGGATACTTGTAATGTAACAAAAAAAATTAAGATCAGAATATCATACCTAAACACTCATAAAAATAAGACTGCTTTAGCTGTCTCGACATGGGTACCTATATTCAACCAAAAATCGAGAAAAGGAAAAATAAGGAAAGAATAGGAACCCGCCCAAGAGAGAGTGGAAAAGTTTCAATCTTTACCTATTTTGTATCCTTGTGATGTGTGGTGAAGTGAGCACATGATTCCAAGTCATTTTAGCCACATTCTTCATTTGCTTCCTTTTTCCTTTTCTCTTCTATTTACTATGTATAGGCTATTAAACTCAATTGTAAATTGAGAATGGAAATATTTTGAATATTCTGCTGCGCTTGTCGTTCAGATAGAAGAGTTTATAGCTACATACCAGAAAAAATAAAAATAAAAATAAAACGAACTTTCTTGTTTACCTCCAATAATATCATAATAACAAAAAGAAACCCAATTTTTTTTTATCCTATAGGTTTTGGTTTACCACGACCTTCTCGGGATGTTACAGCACCCGCACCACGCGAAGGTCAGTAAAACCCCCACTAATGTGTTTGTTTTTAAGTACAATTATTCCCAACTCCCAAGAGCCATTTATTTTGTTTCGAAAATATGAACTCATTATCATTTTCTCTTGACCTACGCAAGGTAACTCCAAAGTTCAGTAAACAGTACGCGCGCGTGGGGGAAGTGATCAACAAGGCTCTCGTTGAGTACCAAAAAGAAGTCACAGACGGAACTTTTCCGGGCCCGGCCCACAGCCCATATAAAATCAGCAAAGCTGACACGAACGGGTTTTTGCAGGCACTGGAGAAAATGGGTTTGGGTGATGCTGCAGTAGCAGCAGCAGATGCAGCTGAAAAATTTGAAGCCACAGAAAAATGACAGATATATAGAGAGAGATTAGTGTCTAGTTTTTGCTCGACCGATGTTTTGTAGAGCCAGTGGGGAGCTTTCGATTTCTGTGAATTGGGATCTTTGTAGAAGTAGATTGAGGTTCTTTCTTCTGACATTTGAGTGTGGGATTAAGTGTTAGACTAATGATCAACTATAAAATAGTTTCTATTTTAATAATTTTTTTTAATTATATTGAAAGGAAAAGGTACAAATAAACAAAGGAATTTTTATGAGTATTGATTGTTGAATGATGAAAGTTTTAATATACAATCAATAGCAAAATATAAGAGAACTAGTACAACACTCGTGTATTACACGGGTGCTTGCTATTTTTTTTCTTAAAATTTAAAATTAATGAGAAAAAATAGTTTGAAAATTTAAATACCTTTTATAAGAATATATATATTATTATATATTTATTATGATACTTTTTATTTGTTCGACTTACTTGTGTTATATTGTATTAATTTTTTAATTTACAATATATAACTACATTACATATAAATATATCAATTGAAAAATAATTTTATTTTTCTAATGAATTTCAATAAATATTATTATTTTTTATTATTATAAAGATAAATATAATTTATTTATTTCATATATATACAATATGGATGTCAATTCGAAGATCATCAAAAGATGATTAATTTGATATATTATATATGTAAAACCGATAAGAAATACAAAAGTTATCAACTTTTAAAATACATTTATAATTCAACAGCTTATTGAAGGAAACAAATCAAAATTCAGGATATAGTAGTCACTTAGAGCATCTCCAAGAGCTTCCCTATTTCTCTTTTTTATCTCAAAAATAGGGAT